ATGGCCACGCCGCAATCCCTTCTCCTCCATTCTCCTCTCGGGATCTTGGGCATGCACGCACACGCGCCCGGGGACCCTGGAATGCCAGGTGGGTGTGCGCGGATCCGTGGGCCTGGGTCACCGGGGTTGAGTGCAGGTGAGTTGCTGGAGTGGCCCCGGAGGAAGCCGTGTGCTCAGGGACGGGGCGGGGCAGGGGGGCTGGCTGGCCGAGTGTCTGCCGCGTCAGTGTGTCACAGTGCTCTGTCCTCCTGTCCCTGCTCCTCCCGCAGCTGTCTGAGCACGTGGTGAACCGCATGAAAGAGCCCAGAGCGCAGCCCCTGACCCCGCCCCCGCTGTCTGCATTTGGCCCTCCTGGGTGCAGCACTGGAGCCCCTCCCAAAGGTAGGATCCGCAGCCGGAGCGGGAGGCCGAGGGCGGGCCGAGGGCGGACGCATGGCTCACGCCTGTTTCTACCGGCCATTCTGCCAGCCGCTTTCCAGGAGGGCGGGTCCCCACGGTGACACTCTGGGACAATGTTGGCGGCAGGTTTACCCATAATTATCTGGAAACGTGGGCCCGGTCCTGTGCCTCGTGCCAGGACACGGTGAAGGTGCAGGGGACCCAGTCTTCCTGAGGACGCCCGGCTCTGGGTAAGGAGGGGACATGCACCTGACACATCGTGGCCCCGTGAACGATGCCGCCCCAGAGCCTGCCGAGGCCCGGGCAGCACCGAGCAGGGCGGGACTCACTGTGGTGAAGGCTAGGTGGGGTCCGAGGACAGAACTCTGGTGCTGTGGGTCCCGGGGGGTGGGCATCGTGGCGGAGGGCAGTGGGGGCAGAGGCTCAGCGCTGCCCTGCACCTCGGCTCCGTGGGCTCTGAAAGCAGCCGGCCGTCTCTGGAGAAGAGCCCCGGGAATGGGGGGACACCGGGCAGTGCTTGGGGTCAGGCCCGGACAGCCCAACTCAGTGGCCAGCAGGCTCTGGCTTCACGTCAAGGCCAGGGTGGCGGCCAGGTGTCCTCACACCTCCCTGTGGTCTGCCCGAAGGCCGCCCACACCTGCAGGGCACTCCCAGCCCCTGCACCTCAGCACCATCTGGCCCATACAAACCGCATGGGAGGTGGCCCACAAGATCCCTCTCATGGAGCTGGACAGGGCTCACAGCCACGGGTCACCCCAGCACGGCGGGTCACTCTGGTGTCTGGGGACGCAGGTGTAGAGGGGAGGCCGGCCTGGGCAGTGGCGTGTTCACAGCCGCACCTCCTCATCTCCGCGTTCCCGGGCCTCACGCAGCTGACGTTTGCTGGCCGTGGAGCGTGCCGTGGGCTGTGGCCACCACGTCTCAGTCACATCTCGGCTCGTCACGGCCCTCGGGGACAGGAGTGGAGGAAGAGGCTGGCGGTGCGGCCGGTCCTGGCCCTGCACAGGCCTAAAGTGTGTCTGCATTGCAGTTTTTAACAAAAAAGTTTGAAAAGTAAAACAGAAGCCCGGAATAGAAATAAAGGTTGGGGAAGAAACGGAGACTGAGTGCAGGTGGGCTGAGGCAGGAGGCCCCCGATGCAGGGAGACCCTGTCTTATAAAGCACGGAAGCGCCCCCCACTCGGCATTTCTGCACAGGAGAGTGAGCGTGCCGAGTACTGCGGAAGGACAGGGCATCCACTCGACAGCCCGCCGCGGTCTGTCCCTGCAGCCGCAGTGGAGAAGTGGTGTCGCACTCTGGCGTACGTTGCAGGTGGGCTGAGGCAGGAGGCCCCCGATGCAGGGAGACCCTGTCTTATAAAGCACGGAAGCGCCCCCCACTCGGCATTTCTGCACAGGAGAGTGAGCGTGCCGAGTACTGCGGAAGGACAGGGCATCCACTCGACAGCCCGCCGCGGTCTGTCCCTGCAGCCGCAGTGGAGAAGTGGTGTCGCACTCTGGCGTACGTGGTGTGCCCTCGAGGGAGAGGTGCGAGGCACAGGCCGACCGCTGTGCAAGGCTCCCGAAGGCCTCCTGGCTGGGGGTGGGGGTTGGCGCATCCTCCCACGTGGACAGCTGTGTGGGACGAAGGCTGGCGACGTGGGGAGTCATCGCAAGACCTTCAGTATGCGCAAGTGCCAAGTGGCAGGCCGTGAGTGGGACCCGCTCAGAAGCCCTAATTCCTGATGACAGAAGGGTGGAGCCGAGAGCCACGGCAGTGTCCCAGCCTCGCCCCTGTAACCCCAGCTACCCACAGGGTCCAGGCAAGAGCCGCCACTCCAAGGCCAGCCTGGGCAACACGGAGACCCAGGGTACAGTTTTTAAGGTAGACCTACAGGATCCGCCCGAGACACTGGGGCATCAGGGCCAGCGTGGGGTGCGCACCTGGGCCGTGGGGCCTGACGAAGCCGGTGCCGGGGAGATGGCAGCCAGGACCTCTCCTCATCGACACCTGGCCTGCGGCAGCCTCCACCACACCGAGCAGTGACTTTGGTGGCCGCCCGGTCTGTGTCCACGCCGCCCTAGTTCCCTGTGCTCAGGATGTGGACACTGCCCGCTGAGCTGCCCTAGGACCGGGCTGGGCATGGCGAGCCCTGTGCAGAGGCCCGGGGGCAGCGGAGCCTGGATCACTGGGCGTTCTGACTAGGGGTCCCGGATGTCGCTGGGGCGCACGGAGACGCTGCTCTGGGGGGCCTGCCCCCATGTGATGCTCTGGGGTGCATGGTGTGCCCGCGGTCGGGGCTCACGGAGGCCGGGGGTAACCTGTTGGCGACGCTCGCTGCTTCTCTCAATGAAGAGATAAAGTGAAATGCTTTCTAAAAGGACATGCTTCTCATCTACCATGGGGGTGTGTGGCCTGCTGTGGGGCCCCTGGCCTGTCCCCAGGACATGGTCCTCTGCGGGGACACGTATGCTCTCCAGTGGGTGCAGGGAGCACGCTCGCACATGGGTCAGTGGTTCTAACCCCCTTCCTGTGACTGCAGTGCTCACTGCCGTGCCTCGGGAGTCCCAGGGAGCCGACCGTGTGCCTTGGGGGTCCCGGGGAGCTGACGGCGTCCTCGGGCCCTGGGTGCTGCTGACAGCCTGCCCTCTTTCCTTGCAGAGTCCCAGCTTCCCGAGGCAGAGAGCGGCAGTGGCCCGCAGCCCTCAGGGGCGAAGGAGGGTCCCAGCAGGTGAGCTGAATGCTGGCCCTGCCCCGTGCTGCCCCTGCAAGCCTCTTTCCTCACAAGGCAGCCCTGGCTCACAGCCCTGGGGAGTCTCCCACGTTTGGCTCTTCTGCCTCCCAGGACGCCCTCTGGCAGGGGACACTGCTCCTGTTTAACTGGAGAAGTGCCCAGGGCCGGGAGCAGACTGTGCATGCTCATCAAAAGCAGGATCAGCCATGAGGCTGGCCTGTGGGTGTGGGGGCGCGGGGGGCGGGTGGGCGTGGGTGTGGGTGCATGGGGAGGGGGTAGGCGTGGATGTACGGGGGGTGGATGTGGGTGCACAGGGGCAGTGGTCCCGTAGGTGTGAGTGCACCAAGGGGGGTGGGCCCATGGGTGTGGGTGCACGGGGCGAGGGGGCGGGGCCCGTGGGCGCACACAGGTCTGCTCTGGGAGATGGACAGTACGATGCCCTCACAGTGCCGTCGCCATCTGGGTGAACTGGCTCTGGGTGCTGGTGCTTCCCGTCAGCACAGGCTGTGGTCCTGAGAATGGCGGGGACCGGCTTCCTGTCCCCTAAGGACTCGAAGACAGACTGGCCTTTGGCCCCGTGCTTAGCAGTCACGTGGCTTCGGGAGCCGCGGTGTGGAAGCGGGCCGGAAGTGTACCCCTGCGTGCGGCGGCGTCAGGATTGCATGAGGGCCCTGCAAGGCGCGGGTGCTGCTCGGCGAATGCTGGCCCGGGGTTACTGCCAACTTCCGTGGCACCTCGAGGAAACTGGCCTCTGTCGTGCGGGGACCCAGGGTCGGCCGACGTGGGGGCTCTCCCTCCCTCGGGCCAGCTGTGCAGGGTCTGTTCCTGGCCATGGATTAAGACCCACAGTTTGAGAACTCACCCTCCCTGGTCCCGAGGGGCTCTGCAAGAGTAACAAAGCCCTGTTTTTACGTTTTTTTTAACATTTACAAATGATGGGGCCAGCAGGTGGCGGGGCAGTTACGCCGCTGCACTCCCTCATAGCCAGCCAGACCGGGGTTCCCACATCACGCCAGCGCATGGACATGCGTGCCCGAGATCTTGGGAGGAGAATGGAGGAGAGACTGGCGTGGCCATCTCGCCTACGGGGTGATTTCTTATGTCTTCCTCACTGTCTCTGTCTCTCTCTGGTGAGTGCATGCACCCTAAGGCAAAGATCTCTAAAAAAACGTTAAATATATGCTAATTAAAGGTTTGGAAACTATGTGAAATGAGAAAATAACCCCTAAGTTCATCATCTCAAGACAACCAGTCAGTATTTGGAAATGTTTCACATTTTCCCACTAGTTTAGGGATATATTTAAAAGCCCTACTATTTCTGCTTACAGCAGTATGAATATTTCCCACTAGTTACACCTGCTTTTTCTTCTTCTGCCAGAGGTTGTGCGTGTGCTCTGGGGAGAGGCGAGGGAAGGCAAGCCCCACCATGGACAGTGGTCCCGGTGCAGTCTCCTCGGCCTGCCCGCCTCTCAGGGTTCCAGGTGCGCGTCCAACACGCGTTTCAGACACGGGCTCTGAGGCTCAGACTGCAGGGCTGGCCGGTGGGGTCCCTCCGCCTTAGCCACTGAGCCACTGGCTGCCCACACCTGATTCTCAAGCTTTGTTTTTCAAGAGAGATTTTTGCTATAGGGCACGTGTGCTCACCAGAGAGACAGAGAGAGAGAGAGAGAGTGAGAAGTCACCCCAGGCGGGTGGCTGCTCCGCAGGACCCTCCTCCAGTCTCCCCTCTGCATGTTGGGCACATACGTGCCCTAGAGTGAGTTCCACGCCTCCAGGTCCAGGACTCGAACCGCTGTTGGCCACGTGGGAGTCTAGCGCCTTAACCGTTACAGCACCTGCTGGCTCCTTCAAGCATTCTCATTGCTAAATATTGTTCTTTCGCTCCTCACTTCTGGAGCCAGTAGACAGCTCCGTATTCCCAAGGCCACGGAGCAGGCCCCAGTGTGGCTGGGCCTGTCTCTCGGACCCCGACGTGTGGGACCACTGGGTGTCACGTCCTCACCACAATAGGCTCTAGGGCCGAGCGTTTCAGCCCTGGGCGCTTCCTGCTCGGGGTCACTTCGCAGAACGCCTAGTCGGTGGAATCGGCTTAGGACGAGGAGTTCAAAGCAGAGGGCTGCTGCTGTGAACCCGTACCTCCGCAGAGCGGGCACACACCCGCTTCGGGGCAGCTTCCATGGGGCTGAGCCCCTGCCTGGAGAGTGCAGTGGGCACGTGGCTGCCCGACTGCTCGCTCGTGGCCTGCTCTCCTGCCCCTGCCCCTGGTGCCCTGGCTGAGGAAGCCTCCCTGTCTGCCCTGATGCCAGCCGAGGGCAGGCCCTGGGGCGGGGGGCACAGCACCCCGTTCCTGGCCACGGTCCCAGTGCTGCCTGACCAGTCTCTCTACTGCTGCACCCCTCCCATCTCCGGGTGCAGGTACAAGCAGGAGCAGGCCACTGTCCACGGAGAGCTGACCCACGTGGCGAGGAGGGACAGAGAGGCGGCCACGAAGCACGCGAAGGCGTCCCTGCCTCGGGGGGAGAGCGGCCTTGACCAGGAGAAGCAGAAGGCGGCCCGACTGGTGAGTACGGATCTCCGGGGCGGCCTTTGCCCTTGTGCTGCCCACTGGCCGGCAGAGTAGGGCCTGCACTGGGTGTTCCTGAGGCCCTGGCGGCCCAGGCTGCCCCCGGGTGTACTCCACGTCTCCTGTGGCCGGCTCTGAGTTGATCCTCCCACTTTCTTTGATGTATTCCAGGCCCCTGTGGGCCATGGCTCCATACAGCGAGGACAGGCCACTCGAGGACTCAGCTCGCAGTGCAGAGCGATGCGTGGGCATGCCGGGCGGGCTGAAGGGACAGGCTGGGCCTGCGATCGAGGTGGAGAGTGACAGTCCTCCCAAGCCAAGAGGTCATGCGCTCACAGGGAGCCTGGGGGAGGGAGACAGGTGTCGCTGGGCATGGCCGCACACCCTGTGCCTCTCACCTGAAGCTGGCACCCGTAGGAGGGCCCGGTGTGCGTTTGATGCTGCCAGGCCCTGAGTTAAGCCAGGGCGGCCACGTGGGACCCAGCCCCGTGACCAGGAGGCACAAGCTGGCCGAGCACAGCCCTCGGTCGGGGCCCAGGGTCCATCCTGGCTCCTGACTTGCTGGTTTGGCACATGGCCGTGGTTCATGGTTGAATCATGACGTTCACACGGCGGTGCCCAGGGGAGGAACGTGTCCCCGTCGGGCTCAGCACTCGCCTGGTGGCCACGCTGAGGCTGCTGTCAGCGCACTCAGCTGCCGTGGCTGTGCAGGCTCTTCCTGCCCAAGGGCCGAGCTTCCTCCGCAGCACGAGACGTCCGAAAGCGCCCAGGGCTGACGGGGCAGGGGAACACCCGTTCCCTCCGCGGTGTGTGGTGTGTGCTGTCGCCCTCCAGGCGTGCTGGGGCCTCCTCGGCTGGCGCCCTCTGCAATGTCCTGGTCTGTCCTCTGCCGTCACCCCTGTGGTGTGCTGGCACATGCTCAGTTGACATCCTCTGTGGTGTGCCGGTGTGAGCTCGGCCGTCACCCTCTGCGGTGTGCCATGCGTGCTCGGCCGTCACCCTCTGCGGTGTGCCGGTGTGAGCTTGGCCGTCATCCTCTGCGGTGTGCCATGCGTGCTTGGCCGTCACCCTCTGCGGTGTGCCGGTGTGAGCTTGGCCGTCACCCTCTGTGGTGTGCCATGCGTGCTCGGCCGTCATCCTCTGCGGTGTGCCGGTGTGTGCTCGGCTGTCGCCCCCATGGTGTGCTGCCCCCCACCGTGGTCCCCACTGTACAGTCCCGAGACTGTGCAGGTGCAAGGTCATGCGCGTGCAAGCTGTGGCAGGACCCCTTCCCTGTGGATGGCCTGGATGGTGCCAGGTGTCCGTGGCTAAGCCTCTTCGGCAGGGCGGGGCTCCTGGACTGCTAGGACTGCCCTCCCGGAGGGGCGGTGGGCTTCTGGAAGGCGGACACCGGGGCATCTGTGGGCAGGCAGGCGGGAGGCAGGGCCACCCTGAGGCCCAGCAGCTGCGGGGCTGTCGCTCCCCGGGGGTGGAGGTGGGGGTGCTCCCTGGGGGCTCCCCGTGGCTGGCAAGTGCTGTGGTGGAAATCGCCCCAAAGCTTGCTTGGAGGATTTAAACATGACGGGAGGTGGCGGGGGAGAGCGTGGACAAAGCGTGGCGACGTCCTGTCCTCGCCAGTCTGCGTGTTCCAGGAGGCAGAGGCAGGGTGTCCCGCATGTCCTCCTGGCCCTCCAGGTGACGGCGTGGCATGGGCGCTTGTGCCTTGGCCAAGCTGCGTCCCTGAGCTCACAACTCAGGCAGGGCCGGTGAGGACGCCCACACGCTGCCCGCCTCCGACTAGGACAATACTGACTTTCAAGTCCTCTTCCGCCCGAGGGAGTGATCTGCTCATCGCTGGGAAACGTTCTAAAGCCAGCGACTTCCACAGCTGCTGTGGCGACCGCGCTGCCGTACCCCGCCCAGCCCAAAGCCACGGCCGCCCACGTGTCCCGCGTGTCCCGAGTGTGCGGTTCTGGGCCAGGCGAGGCCCCGGGAGTGGCCTTTGCGAAGCGAGCTTCCCTCTGAGCGGTGCATGGAGTGCAGAGTCCAAACCGAGTCGGGGAAGGACAGAGCCGTCCGTGGGCCTGAGCCTTCGGACCCGGGTGCCCTGGAGGTTTGGGGCGGAGCAGCGCCGGCTGAGAGGCTGATGGGGCAGTGGCATCACGGTCTTCCCTGTCGCCCACGGTGTCGTCGGCACGGTGCACCAGCGTAGCCCACGGAGAGCAAAGCCCTTCCCTTCCTTCCTCTGGGGAGCCGTTCCCCGGGGCTCCAGTGTGTCCCGGGTGCTCTGCGCGTGGCTGTCGGCTGCTGGGCAGCAGCTCAGCGCCCTGGGGCGGACATCTGCGAGGCCGAGCTCCGCTCTGAGCTGGTGTCCTGCTGGGGCTCTGCTCGGGGTGCCCGTGTGTGGGGAGTCCTCCCAGGGCGGGAGGTGCGGGGGGCCCGGGGAGCCGCAGCACTGGCCCTCCCCTGGGCAGAGTGGAGCGGGCACGGCCTCAGGAGAGGCGCCAGGCAAGCTGGTCTGGGGTGAGGGACGTTTGCCCGGTGAGGAAGAGGGACGAGCTTGCACGTCGGGGCACGCGTGGAGGGCCTGGTGCGGCGGGAGCACAGGAGGAGGGCAGGTGTGGCAGGCAGGAGGCCAGAGGTGCGTTCCGGAGAGCGGGAGGGCTCTCTGGAATCCCGGGGAGCTGTGGGGAGCTCCTCTTTTCCCACGGGCTGGCGCCGGGAGTCCAGGGCACTTCGGGAGGTGGGGCCAGGGCGTGCCCCTTTGCCCAGTGGCGTGGACAGTGGGTGCCCCACACCCTAACGGAAGGTGGGATGGAGGGCTGCGTGCTCGGGCCCCGCCAGCCGGCCTGGTGGCTGAGTACTGTGCCCCGCAGTGAGGAAGGAAAACCGGTAGGTCACACGGGAAGGGCGTGGCTGTCACCCTCACTGCCACACACCGGAAATGCGGATTCACTCCTCACGCATCCCCCAGACCCCACACTGCCCGTCACCTCCGCCCCCACAGGCCTCCCCGCCGGCCCTGCTGAGATACAGGCTTTGTCCGACGTACGGAGGGCAAGGGCCCGGTCCCCACCTGCGTCACACCAGAGGACACGTAGGCCTCGGCTGGGTCATTGTGCCCAGCATGGCTGAGAGTCCACAGTGTGTGCTCAGGTGGCCTCTGTCCCGGGGCTTCCTCCACACCTCATGGCGTGTCCTGCCGTGACGTGCCCCTGCCGGAGAGCTCGGCGCCCTTCGCATCGCCGCCTCCTCCTATGTGTGATGTCAGGACTGGGACGACTCAGACCCGCCAGTGTGTCCGGCTGCGGAGGCAGGCGGGAACCGTGACATGGGCGCCTCTGACCAGCTCCCTGGGGGAGGAGGCCGGAGGACGTGGGGTTGTGGCTGCTGCCGTGGGGCCTCGCAGAGGTCGAAGGACCTTCACCCGCCTTGCTCTGCTCCCTGCTCCGCCCTCTGCACGGCCCAGACAGGGCTTGTGTTGGGCTTCGCTGGGACCTGGGAGGACAGGTGATCAGGTGACTTACTGCACACTGGGGCTAGGGCTGGGGTGCCGAGACCCAGGAGCGGCCAGCGGGGTTCTGGCACAGTGAGCCCGGCGCAGCTCCTGGACCGCCGCTGGAGCTGCACCCCTGCCCTACCCCAGAGGTCCTCGGCCCCCTACAGCCTGGCCGCCCAAGGATGGGGGTGGTCCCGTGGGGCTGTGACTCTAGGGGACCTTAGGTGGGCGTGGTGAATTTGAACAGCATGCTGGGGGTTCTCAGACCTGCCCCCGGCACTGCCTCCCCGCTTAGTCTCCCCAGCAGCCTCGCCCCCAGCACCCACCCCGCCTCACACCTGCATCCCCTGTACCGTCTCCCCACCCGGTCCAGCCCCTGCCTGGGTGACCTGAAGAGCAGGGTGCTCCTCTCTGCCCTCGGGGGCAGCTGGGGGCCGTCTGATCACTCCCATTGAGGGGGTTGGGCTGCCATCCTTGGCTTGTGCGAGCACCCAGAGCCCCAGCCCCGGGTGTTCAACTTCCAAAGTTAAGTAAGCCACAGCCCGTGGCCCGTTCTAGGCTGTGCTGAAGCTGCAAGGAACCTTCTCAAGGTCTGGGATGCACAGGAGGGCCGCCATTGGCTGAGCGGCTTCCTATGTCACGAGGCTGTGCCCCTCCCATGCTGGGCTCCCGCATGCCCCGGTGCTGTCCTGTGTGCTCGCCCTGGGGGGGAGGAAGGAGTCCTGTTTCTCCCTCAGCCCCCTCCCTCCAGGGTTCAGCCCCGGCGGTGGTGCTCCCCCTGCTGGTGGGGAGGAGGAGGGAGGACAGGTGAGCGTGGGTACTGGGGCAGGCCCGGAGGAGAGGGGCGGGCAGAGCCTGGTCCACAGCCCAGCCGGTGGCCAGGGGGGG